TGTAGAAAGTAATCCAGGCACTCCAAAATGTTCCAAAAGATAGGCAATTTTATTGGACCCAAGAAACAAAAAACAACGTTTCAACCCCTTAGGGCCTTTGTCAAGCTTGACAAACGTTTTTTGGTTCTTGGGTCCAATAAAATTGCCTATCTTTTGGAACATTTTGGAGTGCCTGGATTACTTTCTACATATAAAACTGTTTCTATGAACTTTGTTTTGCCATCCATCCATGAACTTACCTGTTGTTTATAACCCTATGTATCAACCTAGTATTATTATTATTTCTATAAACTTCAGCTGAAATAGGATCAACCTAGACAACAAAGGTGGGTCTAGCAATCTACCAAGAAATTCTTTCAGAGGTGGCAACCCAACATCAAAACACTACTATTAGGGAGAAAATCATTTAAACTTACCAGCCAGTCCTCCTACCATCTGACCCATGTGAGGGCTGTAAAGGCTGCAGGCCACTAGCATCCACGGATTGTGGGCTGCAGCCTCACGCCATTCTTCTGTTGATTAAAACAGCAGGAGACATTTTTGGATGCTGTTATCAGAGTACTACAGAAGGGGGCAGCAGTTCTGAATGTGCATGTCGTTACTAGTTCCGCATTGTGTGGGTTTGTGCATGGGCTGATGGCCGAAAATCTAAATGGTCGCAAGGCCTGGACTGCAGGATCTGGGGCCAACCAAGTAGCCAGCTATGATTAGTATGTATGATGTCCCTGGAGGTGTTACATAATTAACACATGCTCGTTGTCATTGGAAGAAAAGGAATCAGTATAAACATTATCTGCATCTTTATGGCATGCTCCGACATCTGTTAATTCTCTGTTATGCTCTGCAGGCCATATGGATGGAGATATATGATGTCAAACATTGTAACTCCATCTGATCCCCTCATTTATTACCAGCACCATGTGAGTAGGAACATAAAAAACACAGAGGTCTGTAAGTTTTGTGTACAAAAACAAATTCATTTCTACTTCCCCTTCATGCCATACGTTGCCAGCTCTCCCCTAAACTGATGTGACTAATCCCATATCTGCATGATTGCTGTCCAAGAGTAGCGTTTATAATTCATTAAAGGGACACTATAACCGCTTCATCTCGTTGAAAGCCTGGAGTCCCCCCGGCACTGTCTTTCCATTCGGCGTTAAATCGTGTTTTTTTTTTTTTTTCCTCTATTCATTTATGAACTTCTATAGTAAAATGTTGTTTAATTCCAGTTAACAGAATATTTTTATACATTTCTAACATACCCCATCATAAGAAACAAGTGTTATTTTGTATGGAAAATGCTATTTCTATAGTTAATGTATTTGGTTGCTGCTCTGTTGTATGATATCAACATATGATTTTTTTTTGTTTATAGTACCATCACGTTTGTCTTCGTATGAAGTATAACAAAACTACAATTAGAAAAATCACTCAGAGTACCCTGACAGATGATTGATGGCACCATCTTGTGGAAGAAAAATGCTATAACCGCATCACATTCTAAAAAGTACATTTTCCTGGCAATGGCCATGGCAGCACCTCTCCGATTAGCCCCTCACATCACTCCCATTGGACAGGAATAAAATCAATAATTATTAATACCGCCCCTCCAGTTCTTCTGTCAACACTTTTATCAAGCATTACCATTTAGATATTGATGAAGAAACAAAATGCATTTGTAATAAGAACAGGATTAACTTTGTTATTGTGCCGTACTTTTGCATGAATTCTGTATACTATGTTTAACTTTAACCCCTTAAGGACACATGACATGTGTGACATGTGTGACATGTCAAGATTCCCTTTTATTCCAGAAGTTTGGTCCTTAAGGGGTTAAGCAGTGAGCCAGTAGAGGTTTCCGTTGGTATTTTTTTTTTTAAATCACTCGCAGTCGTCTCCTCCATGTAAACCGCAGTATAATGCAATCCTACCTGTCAGCATTCTATTTTCTCCCTGGCTGAAAACAAGCAAGGAATGTAACAAGTCTTCAGATTTGTGGCTTTTATTACACGGTCTATACATATTTAAAGAGGCACTAAAACTGTATTTCCATAATTTAAGATAAAACAATAACAGAAAGATTATTTTCATCTCTGGAAGTTATACAGTAAGCTAGAATTGTCACGTGAAGATCTACTTTTAAAATGCATTACAACTTTTAAACCTCTAATGAGATATGAAAAAAGTCTGCAGACAACATGTGATCTAGAAACACATTATTTGATGCTATAGGTCAGGCTCTCCCTAGCAGCTTGTATTAGTTACATAAATGTCTGATCGATGTTTTGTCCCCTTATCAAGATCACCAAGATCTTCAGAAAGACTTGGAACATCGATCAGACACTTATGTAACTTTTTTGATTATTTATTAAAGGATCACTATAAGGTCAGGAACACAAACATGTATTCCTGACCCTGTAGTGAAAACCCACCATTTAGGTGGCTTGCTCCCCCGCCCTCCTTTATGGGTTAAAACTCACCTTTTCAGCTCTCCACGGGTCCATTGGCGCTGGCCCCGCCCCCTTGGTGACATCAGCAAAATTGCCGCTTTTTAGCCAATCCCATAGCGAAAGAATTGGATTGGCTAAAATCGGCAAGGAGTAGGGCCAAATGCTGTTTTGACCAATCAGCACATCCTCATAGATATGCATTGAATCAATGCATCTCCATGAGGAAGATTCAGCGTACGGCAGGGCTGCCTACTGTGCAGCACTGAGCCAGGAAGCACCTCCAGTGGCCCTCTAAGGAGTGGTCACTTGGAGGTGTCCCTAGGCGCAATGTAAACACTGCCTATTATACTCACCAGAACAACTACATTAAGCTGTAGTTGTTCTGGTGACTATAGTGTCCCTTTAACCCCTTAAGGACCAAAGTTCTGGAATAAAAGGGAATCACGACATGTCACACATCATGTGTCCTTAAGGGGTTAAACACTATCTTGCTTTTTGTAAGACCTCTGAATGCAACCTTTCATTAGCCTTTATATAATAGCAGGTTTTTGGCACTTAGGTAGTATCCATTTCTATTTTTCATAAAGGGTGAGTGCCAAGTGAGTTGGGATTTATATATCACATGCATCAGCCTCTTAACACATTAACCCTAGTAGACATTCATAAACAACAACAGGACACAGACACTACGATAGCCACACATCTATAGAAACTCACTAACAGAATGCTATTTTAACCCAACTAGTGTTTAGGATAAGATACCTCAGTTTATACACTAGCACTCATGAGATAAATTATAAGCATTTCACTTATTTTTTACTGTACTGTATTTTGGGATGAGGGAAGTAAGGTACCCTTCACAAGTGTTTCGAGCTGCTGTCATATTTCTTGTAACACAATAAGCTTTTACACCTGCACTAACTATTGTTTGCTTTCTTTTCAGCTGTGTTGTTGAACAGTTTATGCTCCAATTCTTCCTATATGGGGACTATCCTTCACTGCCATCATTCTGCTATACCTCTTACCATGTAGACCACCTTCGAAGTAGCTATTTTTGAGGCAGTTTTACATTGGGACAAACATTATCATGACTAAGAGACCAATTGCTTCAATAATTACAATGGAGGATTGGGAGAAGCCTTTACCTAGTATGTTACTAAACCATCCTGCTTAACGACCATTGACTGTTCAGGCAGTAAGGACAGGGAGCAGCATTGGAGACAAAACTGCTTCCACCTTGCTCATTACCACAGTCATCAGAGTGCCTGCTGATAGCATTATACACTGCATTTCTTTGATGTGCTAGGTGGTGCTTCAATCTCACCTTCTCAGGCAAGTGGTAGGAAAGAGGATGTCATAGATCTCGAGGACAGCTGTATTGGAGAAATAACACAGAATGCAGCCAGGAGTACTGGCCCAAGTTGTAAATCATTCTCAAAGAGTGGTTTTATTAGAATTATACCTGAATGTAAACATTTATGCATACTTTAATAATTAAATTAGTGGATAACAAAAAAATCTCTGTACGAGGTATGTCTCTATGAGAGGTGGTTTATATAGGGTGATTAGGGCTTAATGAGACCTGAAATAAGAGGCTGTGAATGTAAAGCATGCAATTTCATTGAGCTACACAAAACAATGCATTTGTTACATTTAAAACTTACAGGAAAGTACACAACTCTACAGCGGTTATATTTTAATATAAGGATGGGCTTTTTATTTGCTTGGATGGACATTAACAGCTACTTTGATTTCAATTTAATGAACATCTGGACCAATCATGGTCTGTGATTTGCAAGAGACAATAGATATGTCATGATTATTCTTCTACAAAAGACTTACTTTTTTTATATACAACTTTCCCCTTTTCAGTTTTTACACAAAGAAATTCCCCCTGGAAAGTTACAGGGTTAAATATAAGGCTTGTAAATTAAATTCTCTGGACTTTCTGCCCAAACAGAGAGAGAGAGAGAGAATATTTTAATTTAAATTGTATATGATTTAATTCTAAGTGTATTTTGATATCTCTACATGTATTAATATCAAAATAGTTAGAATGAAACTAAACACATATATATATATATATATATATATATATATATATTTCATTCTACGTGTATTTTGATATTGACATTAAAATACACTAAGAATGAAATTTACATATTATTTCATATATATATATATATATATATATATATTATATATATATAAATAAATGTGTGGCATAATTACCTTTTTACAAAATATTATCTGCCGCCACAACAGCTTGTAAGCCTATTTTATACGAAACGACATAGAACACCTTAACGGCTATAAGTCATGTAGAGCAGGGATGCCCAAAAGGTAGATCCCCAGATGATGTAAAACTACAACTCCCATGATGCTTTTAATGTCTTTAGAATGACAAAGCATCGTAGGAGCTGTAATTTTACAACATCTGGGGATCTACTTATTGGTCACCCCTGCTGTAGTGGTCCTGACATGGAACTGAAATCGGTCTATACTTGCTGTAAACTCTTGATATTTATTGCAGCCACTGATTACAAACAGGTCTCCAATGTTGTCACTATTTGATTTTTTTGATTTATTTTTTTTATACTGGATTGCAATGTTTGATCACAAAATAAAATAAAAAAACCACAGCAGCTCACCCTGTAATTGGCCTTGGGAGATAGCGATACTGTAAACAATATACTAAACTTTTTTTGTACTCTGACATGCATATCTATGCAACTTTTCAGGTTAATTGCTATGTTGACTCATTCATTTAGATGACCAGCAGTTCGCTTTGGGGGCAGCGGCGGCATATATAAAACATTTGGCATTTTATTTAATAAGTGCTGTACAGTTTCAATTTAATGCCATAAAACCTCATGTATTTTTCGCTATAGAATGACGGGGATTAAGTCACTAATGTCTTTGCACAAGACATGTGGCTGGTGTTAAAGGTATACTATAGGCACCAAAACACACTTTGGGTTAGTGGAGTGGCTTTGGTGTATAGATGATACGCTTCTATAGTCTCAATGTTCAATTCTCTGCCATTTAGTTGTTACATCAAGATGTTTCTGGTTATGCACCTCTGGCCACACCTCCTCTGGCTGTTACTAAGACCGATTACATGACTAAAACAATGATTTCGGTTTTAATCAGATACTAATTTGATCTAGAAGTTTTCATCTCCTGCTCTGTAAATTGAACTTAAAATCACACACAGGAAGGCCATTAACCCCTTAAGGACATGACGTGTGACATGTCATGATTCCCTTTTATTCCAGAAGTTTGGTCCTTAAGGGGTTCTGCCAATTGGAGTGGTCTGGGTGCCAACTCCCACTACCCTTAACCCTGCAAGTGTAATTATGCAGTTTTTATAAACTGCAATAATTACCTTGCAGGGTTAACTCCTCCTCTAGTGGCTGTCTAATAAGTGGCTGTCTACTAGACCGCCACTAGAGGGCACCTGATTCATAGCACAGGTTTCCAGCGTCGCTAATATCCCCAAATTTTCAATGCTTTCCTGTGGAGAGGTCTAATGCGCGTATGCGGCATTGCAGCGCATGCGCATTAGGTCTCCCCCGCCGGAGAACGTGGGGACGGGGAGGAGCATGGGTCGGACCAAGAAGCAGCGACAAGAGACATAGTCGCTGCCTCCAGTAAGTAATTGAAGGGGTTTTGACCCCTTCAGCAACCGGGGATGGGAGGTGGGAGGCACTGGAGAGTTCCTTTACTAGAGCAGAAGACAAATTGTAAATTAAAAATAATTTGCTATAAAGGAAGTGTAAACATTACATGACTCTTTACAAGAAATGTTTAGGAAGGCTGTGCAAGTCAAATGCAGGAAGTTGTGACTAGGGCTGCATAAACATAGTAATTTACTCCTAAATAGCAGATAATTGCACAGCGAGACTGCAGGGGCATGATCTATACAACACAACCATTCCATTAAGTTACAGTTTTTATTGTGACTATAGTCTCCCTTTTAGTTTGATGGTAACTTGCAGCTGTTAAAAAGAGAATGTTTGAAAACAGTTGCTAGTGGATAGGGATCATAGGGAATAATGGGGGATGTTCGCTGGTACTTAGTAACTGGCTATCAGCCACCGCAGCGAGTAATTCATACACACTAATTCGTGAAACTTAGCATTTCCTATACACCTGCTAATTGCCAACAGTAGCAAAAGGCATTTTAGTGACAAGATTGGGAACAAGTCCTAAGACTATTTCATCATTCTTGCAAATTGTCTTTTTGAACATCGAGCTGAAGTGCACATTACAAAATATCAACAGCTTTTAAGAGATGTGTGGTTTTTTTATTGGACATATTTTTCTGCTAACACGGGATGCATTTTAAAAAATAAATAATTACCTCACCATCTTTTCATGTATAAATAAGTCTCCAGCACTGGCCAGGAACAACCGTTATATGAGATGGGGTACATAAACACAAAGCTGGTATCATTTATCTATCAAGTATAAGGGCAAAATCCTTGATAAAAAGATCTATAAAGCTTACATCTTGCTTTTAATAAAGTAATCTTTAACCCCTTAAGGACACATGACGTGTGTGACGTCATGATTCCCTTTTATTCCAGAAGTTTGGTCCTTAAGGGGTTACATTCTGTAGATTGTATTTAAGATGCCATCTAGTGTACCTTTCATGGTTGACCATTTAGAACACTTTTCCCTCTAGTGTTTTAATTCCTTTTAATATCCGATTACTTCTGTAGCGTACATGTAACAGTTGTTTAGTATATACTAGTGATTTTAATATGTAAAACTTAACCATTAAGTACACTTTGGTGTACAAATATGTGACGGGTTAACTTTTTGAAAGATTACCACAATGTCACCATATTGAACACACTTTACTATCACAAGATTTTTTTTCTTAAAAAGATTTTATTTAATCAAAATAGCAAAGAAAAGAAAATGAACATGTTCATGAGCAGTTTCTATTTTCCAACTATATAGAGTTGGACATAAATACGGTATTTACATACAATGTTCGAAGGAAAATAGATAAGCATTATCAAATACTACACTTTGAAGTGTCTACCTTACAATGGTGTTGATGATTCTTTAGAATTGTTAGGAGTAAGTCCTGTCCCACGTTAACACAGTGAAATGGGCTCAAATGACTCTGCAAACTGTAAAACTGCATGACTTATGAAATTGCTTAAAGTGAAAATACTAAACTCTAACAATTTAGATGTATAACCAAAGTTATCACGTATCACCCAGAAGTAGTCACGTATCAATTTTTTTTTTTTAAGATGATACACTATACAGTAAATATATATCCAGATCAAGTTCTACTGAACCGCTATTGCAATAAATACCACTTCAAAGTTCCAGCAGAACAGTGCCCTTTATGAAGGCTTGCTTAATACCAGTTTTATTTTAAATGCTGTCGTTTATTTGATGTAATAAAGAATCACTAGAACAATTGGAGTGCTGGCATTTTCAAATGTTTGAATCATTTCTATTTGGTATATTTATTTTTGTATTTCAATTTGAATTATATAGCGGGATTGTATTTGTTCACAAACAATTTACATCATAATATATGATTGGGCAACATATTCAGGTACAGTTAGTGTTAATGTTGTGAAATAATGTCTTAGAATCTCTAAAACAATATTTTAACATTTAAAGACAACTGCCATGTAAACATGAAAAGTTTAAGGCTGACAATTTTTGGGGCTTCCCACTTGCTCATACATGGATTAAGAATTTGGGGAGGAATGATTGTATGTAGAATTTCTCTTTGTATACAAAAACCCTTTTAAAAACAGTATGTGTTCTCATTTCGAACAATTTCAATTCAAACAATACAAAACAAATAAAAGCAAGGATAAGAAAACTGTCATACATTTAAGCATTTTGAAACGCAAATACTGTAATGTCCAAATGCTTGAGAAAACGACAAAATATTTGTTAAGCAAAACTTATTGTGCAGATTTTATGTATGCTAGTTTCCTTGTTATTTAAAATCTTGCATAATTTCTCAGCTTTAACTATTTAGTATTTACACAAACATTTTCTAGCATGCCAGACCATCTCAACTTATTTATACCCTAATCTAAAACCAATTTTACAGCTGACGTACCAATAATTTGAAATACAAAATATTGCAATTATATGCAAATTCTGATCTATGTAAATATGCAATTCTGATCCCAATGTATTTGATCACATATGGCATTGCTGGACAAATAATAATGCATTGTGTGTCTACCCTATAGTTACCCCTAGTGCAGCGATTACGTTTTTGATGTCATTTCAAGAAGTAACTGTCTTGATTTTGAATTATTTTACAAGCATTTCTGTACATCAGGGTTTATCTTTCCATACAACGAATAGAAGAAAAAAAAAAAACGAATTACTAAAAACCAAATATAACATTTCAACTTTTTGGTGCACTAAAGTTTCATTGCTTGGCTCATCAACCAAGACTAAGCATGCACGTGCTATTTTCTCTTCCATTTGGCCTCAGATATATAATGGTGTGCTATTAAAGGGACACTATAGTAACCAGAATAACTACAGCTTATTGCATTTGTTCAGAGAAAATGCAGTGTTTACATTACAACCTAGTGATTACTCCACAGACCACTCCTTAGATGGCTGCTAGCTTTGGTAATGCTGCAGAATAACCAGCACTGCTATTCAGTGTCTCCACCCTCTACACGCAGACACTGAACTTTCCTCAGAGATGCATTGATTTAACGAAGCTCTATGAGGAGATCCTGATTAGCCAGGGATGTGTTTGACTTGTGCTGGCTCTGCCTCCTTGACAGTCTCAGCCAATCCTATGAGAAGGCATTGTGATTGGCTCAGACCACCACTTCTGATTATGTCAGCAGACACAGGCAGTTCACAGCAAGCAGGGGCAGAGCCAGAAGCTGCAGACTTGAATACAAGTTAGATTTTACTATCTTTAGGGAGGCAAGAGGGGGCCATGTGGTGGTTTTAACACTGTAGGGTCAGGGATACATGTTTGTGTTCCTGACCCTACAGTGCTCCAACTCATACAACACTGAAAATGTTAAAGGAACCCGTGGGACACACTCTTTAATTGCTAGACCCTCGTATTACTCATGTAGTTTAGTTTACATGACCACCATTTTAAACTACAAAACTTATTACATTAAGCTGATACTTACATGCAATACAAGGCAGATGCAGCCTCTTCTGAGCAGCTAGGTCTGCCTCAGCAGAGGCCATTAGGCTTGATGGATATTGTGCCCAATCAAATGCTTCTCATTGAGAAGCACTGTGGAGACTTTGGTGCATGTGTAGCAGTTGCCACAATGTACCTATCAAATGTTTCTATCAGTGTATAACCAAGTCAGACTCCATGCTTACTGTCGAAGCACCATCTAGTGGCGGTCATGTAGACAGCCACTAGATGGCTTTAATCAAACAATGAAAAGATTGAACTAAAACTGCAATGTTTTAGATTGTGAGTAAACAGGTAGGGCCGATGCACCCAGACCACTACATTGTACTTTTCGTTTAAAACAAGACAGATCAGATCAAAATAAAGTACATCAACCACAAAATAATAAAAATGCGGTGCATTAATATGCTTCTTGAATTGCTTTTTTCATTCATCCTCCTCTAAAAGAACAATTTTGCTCAATGTTTCCCTGCATATTTGGGAGAGATTCTGAATCAATGTATCTTAGGCTTGGGAGTGCAGCAGGTTGGACATGTGTGTACTGGTACTGCCTGAAACTGGAGTCTGGCATTGCACAAACCACTCACTACAGACTAACATTAAACATTGTGAGTGCATGACATTAAAAGGACACTCAAGAACCCTAGAGCACTGCTGCTTGAATTGCTTTATGAGTGAAGAGTAGTGTGTCCTCCAGTGTTCATTTTACAAAAAGTTCAGATTGTAATACAAAATTGGCACCTTTATAAATCGACTGTCAGACACAGGTGTTACAAGATTAGATCCTCTTACTTCCTGGTAGTTTAGCTCAATGGAGCTAAATTCAAGAGGCAGACAATTGCTTAGAGCACCTGCCTAGCAAAAACTTTTCACTAAGCTGCATTGGGATGTCTGTGATTGGCATCCAAAAATTCTGGGCAGGGTTATAAGGGGCAGGCTTGCAAAGTGTGCAGGATGAGATCTGCAGCTTTTTGCAAGCTATTTTTAGATATAACCCTAATGAAAAATACATTATTTTTTTTTTTCATGCATGTTTCAACCGGGGTTAAACAATCATTTGTTTTGGTTTTTTTTTTGGTAGCATAAGGATATACAAATGGCTGCGTTGCAGCTTCAAAGCCCAACAACACCCACCCGCAAATTTCTGTGGCATTTTCTTACTTTCAGCTTTAATTTATCTAATATGATATGCATACTTAAAAAAAACATGTTTTAGTAGCTTTAGTCTCAAGAAAAACACAATTTTTGAAAAAAAAAAAAAATTAAGGGCTGCCTTTAGCTTACAGCTCTGACTTCAATGTGTTTGGCGAGGCAACCCGATTGAAAACCACTGCTGTAAGACATAATATAATAAGCTGCACTAAGCTAGACTTTGAATTGATTTATGAGTGAAGTGTATTTGGTTCTTAATAATTTTGCGTGTGATCCTGCAATTATTTATTCTCCACTCCAAAAATATAAGCAACATATCATTGCTGCCCTATGATTAAATGAACAAACTTTAAAATTCATGCACTATAAAATACACGTAGCTCACAGTGTATAGTCAAATGCAGCCAGCAGAGAAAATGAAATACCTAGTTAAAGAATAAGGTTTGGGTGAGAAAAAAATCTAAAGGAAAAAGTTTAAAACAATAAAATGCACATTTGTGCATCAATACCAATTACTTATTTACTCCAAGTAAATGTTTAAAGTAAAATATTTAACATTTTTGCTTGTATTTCAAGTTGCTGATATACTGGCTTGGAATATCAACTCAAAGTATTTTCAAATGGTTGATAATTTTATTATTCTCAAAACATTAACATATTAAAAGTGTAACAAAATCGGAAAAACAAGCATTTAAGAAATTCACACTTCCCTAAAACAAACTTACCTATAAAAAGTTGTTTTACACATAATCCGTAAATAAGCTTAACACGTAAAATAAGGTATGTCACAGACAAGGGTTGAAGGTTCAACATCAAACTACTGGTAATAACCAACTTAAATCTACCACAATAATAGTTTAATGCTGTTTGAGGCCAATCTTGGCACGTACAGGCAATATTTACATATTACAGCTTTATGCAAAAATATTGTACAGCTAACTGTACTTTCTACTAGAATGAGGTTTGACACTTTTGGATAGGCTTTGTTATAACAGCATGTTCTAGAGCAGGGTTCCCCAAACGCTAATTCTCTAGATGTTGCTGAAGTACAACTCCCATGATTCTTTGAATGAAATAGATCACCAGATACTCATGAGAGTTTTAGTTTAGCAACATCTAGAAGGTCAGAGTTTGAAGCCTTCTGTTCTAGAGATAAAGTAGGAGGTGGAAGTAGAAAAAAAAAAAAATCTGGTGTGGACCACATGTGAATACAGGGACAAGCAGAAAAAATGATTTCCTTTTCCAGGTCTGACTGTATGAATTATCAAGCAATGCAATGAACAGTGTGTCTAACAGTGGTTCTTAACCTCTGTGAGCACCCCAAATTGAGCACCCATGTTACTCCAGTGGCTTCCCAACATTTTGAACAGTAGCGTCATTCATCAGTTCTCTGGTTTCTGCACCCCAAAAATGGGTAACAAAATCTAAAAATACAAGGCAATTATATTGAATTGTTATAGGTTACTACATTTGAGTAACATAATTGAGGCAATGTTCCAACAGACAAATGGGTCACCCGAGCTAATACCGACTTAAAGCGACAGATTTATTTTAATTTAAGGTGAAGAGTGTAATCTTAGCAAGGAGCATGGCTTAAGCAGGGTTCCTTATTTTTGAGGGTGTGGGGTGGATGTAATATTATATAAAGACATTAAAAAATAAAATTACAGTGCCACTCCAAATTAGGTTCCTGTTTAAAAAAAAAAAAAAAGGTTAAGAACCACTGGTTTACAGCAACACCAAATCAAATGTTATCTATACAAAACTCTGTATGGTCAAAGTTAGTGTTACTTACAGCATTTAAGCTACAGAGGGAATTGAGAGCAGAATGTTATAATACTTACCTTTTTATCTAGTATTTTATGTAGTGAAAAGCACTATTCAAATTTTAAGAATGGAACATCCACACGTGATTCCTGTCCGTAGTAACAGTAGTTAAGTGATAACAATTAAGCATATAAATAGTTTTAAGCTGTAATTTCTATTTTACAAACAGTACATATAAAAAGGATATAAAAACACCATAGCAGGGGTCAAACAGAATATTTTCAGCAGCAAATTATTAAAGCAACGATCCCCACCACACAAACAGCAAGCTCAATGGCTTGTTACAGAGTGTGAGAATCAGTGTGAACACATGCCTTTTGAGACCTGATGATCACATTGTATGCACTGCTGCAGAGCCAAATTGCTGTGGGAATTATGTACAAATTGGTTAACAGAAAAGTTAGGAGAGATAAAACAAAAGCCACCAATGGTCTGAAAAACTTGAGAACAAAACCAAGTATTCGTAGGAGGAAGTAGTTCTGATTTACATTAAATCTTTCACAGAAAGAAAATTAGGGGTTAATGAAAATTTAGATGCCCAACACGTAATTTCTAACCAGAGTAACAGTGAGCAAAGGCTGATCTATACACCAAGAGTAACTGAACAGCAAATTAACCAACAGTGACAGTTCAGTTGTATTCCTGTAATATTTCAATAGCAGTTTGCCATTATGTACATTACAAAAAAACAAAAACATTAACGGAATGGTAAAGCTTTTGGACACTGTTAAGTTAGGAACTATTTGCCTAGTTTAAATATTTGTTATCCCTCCACCCCCATTTTGATGGTTACAAAGTATATTAAAATATCAGGCTTCCACTCTGACAGTTAAAAAACCAAAAACAAACAAAAAAAACTCCCTAAGAACAACTTACATATTTCACACACAAATTATGTAAAGGAATACAACCCAACTGGAAGGTTGTCGTGAAACAAATACACAGCTAACAAGGATTATTTATGGTATAAAAGGGTTATTGTTTTTTGTAAAAATATTGCTAAAACAAGACTTTCCCTGAGGCTTAGACACCAAATAACTTGAAAAGCTTTACACATCAGCCCCAATAAACAGTTTATTACAACACTACATCTATTGTAATTGAGGTGGTGCCATTTACAGACATCAGAACATGAATTTTTTTTTCTCATTTTTTCTTTTTTACAACAACAAACAACTATAAAAACAATAATGAATTGGACTCTCCAATTGCTTGCACATTAGAAAATTGCCAAAATGAATAACCAGTCATAGTTGCAAAAAGCTATTAATGTTTAAGTCACACAGGTTTCATTCAAATAAAACATTTAAGCAACATAAAAAAATAAAAGTATATCTACTGGTTACCATGTTTGCAGATTTGCTTTATTCACATCTAGATCTGTTCATTTTATCCATGTAAAGTTGAGAGGTTGAATCATATGCAGGGTGAAACTGATGTCAGAAGCATCTTCCTCTCCATGGTGAATATATGTGATTCTTTAAGGTGCTCCTCTTCTTACAGCTGTAACGTGTTAAAATGTTGTGATGTAGATTTTTGGTACAATATATAACATATAATGTTCTGATAAGCAGTACATACAATTCATGGCAGACAATACATTACAGATGGTTTAAGAAAACTAAACTCATTTTGATATAGCTACAAGATTCCATAATTGGACAGTGGTTATTCTTGGAAAAAGTGGTCAATACAGTGTTTGTATTCACTAACCAGAGCTGATAACCAACTTCCAAAATTAAGGCCAAACTCGCAAAAATGTTGGGACATTTTTGTTTTGCTTTGTCCTTAAATTTCAAGTTTTGTGTCTGCTTACCACAGCTCATAATTTAGTGAATCAAGCAACCCAAAGAATTAATTCATGCCACACCTGTTCATACTGGGTTTAGGGCAGGATTTTTTGAACCACAGAACAAAAAACAGTAAAAAAAACCACTTGATCTCTAATTTCCAATGTATATTTATGTAACAAAAAAAATAAAAAGGTCTGCTTTTACATTGATATTGATAATGGTTAGCTGTTAAAGTGGACCTGTTTGAAAGCAGCCCTAAGCTCACCATTAGACTTGACATTTGCCCTTTCAAACAGCTAGATACTTGCTCTTTTTTACAATACTGCAGACTATGACTGCTTATTTTGGGACGGAGCATGTCCTAAAATTTAATAATCGAGGGAGTCATTTGCAGAACAATAATCAGAAAAATGTAATTAGCCAAATAAGAAATGAGCAAGTATATACCACCTTATTTGCTTTCAGAGACACAATTGCCAATGTTTTCATAAACATACAAATATGCACAATTGCAAATACAATATATAGACCCATTGTAAAAGGGGGAAAATGCTTTCATAACAAGTCCACTTTACAGCACACAAATCAAACAAAATATTTAATTTCTATGTTTAACATACAGAAAGCAACAATATATTTTTTTTTTTTTTTTTTTTTTTTTAAATGGCTCATAATTAGCAACATTATTCTTATGAACCAAAAAGGTAAAGGTTGCAGTTTGATAAAGATGACAAACCTGAAACTCCAGAGTGGTCTCCTTTATCAAAACCTTTACATAGGAAAACGATAGGAGTTAAAAAAATTTTGTCTGATACTGAGTAATAGTGTGGGTTAACACTGTAAACCAACCCACTTAATACAACATTAAGATGTGTTTGATGGGTATTTAGGTGGTTCTCGACTTAACTTTTAGCCGTGAATATGAAAAAAAATTGATGTGCATTCTAAAAGGCAGAGTATGTATATGTATATGAACATTTATCAGGATGTAGCAAGGACAGTGTTACATTAACATAAGATACCACCCAGGAGGCATCTTTACTGTGCAACCACAAAAATGTACATTTAAAAAAAAAAAAAAATGATCACAGTTGTAATTAACATTACAAACTACTAAGTTGCCAGTACAGTTACAGCAAAAAAATATTCAATTTAAAATTGATTTTTACAAATTGTACCGTGAAACCCAGATGTTAATGCACACAAGATTAAACCATTTGTACTAGAACTAAATCCTATGCAAGTAGTTAAAATAACTTAATGTACAGTGTTTCCTACTTAACCAGGTATTTAAGAGAACCAACACCGTAAATGCAAATGTTAAGTCCAAATAGAGCAGAAAAAAAAATTTGAGAGACTTTACAATTCAACTATTTTGGCCTAAAATTTACAATTCCCCTAATCCCCAGTTTAGAGAATAAATCTCATAGTCTTTATGTTAATACAATATGTATGGAGCTTTACAATCGTGTTTGATGTTCTGGCATGAAATGATACAAAATGTACTAATGCAGTGTATAGATCTAAAGAAATTCTTTGGCCAATTGAATTGGTTTTTAGGAATAAAGCACTTGTAAACAGTATTTTTGAAGTCCAAACATGCTATTGCACTAACTTAATTCTGAGCTATCACACATAATGGAAAGGTAAACTTAAGCAAAATTCGGAAAACATGTCAACGTAGCTGTTAAATGAGCTCTATATATTACCAAGAGTACAGAACCACAACAAAACCCGCCTTTGTTAGAGTATAGAAAAATAAATATGGTGAAATTCTATCATCTGCAGAAAATTCTATTAGAACGTTGCCTTTTGATAGTGTAAAGAAAATAAAAAAACAGTGACAAAGTTAAAAATAAATAAAGTCATGCACAGATTATGTGAATGAGAAATGTACAACTAGGTAAAATTTTATTTATGTATTGCACCACAAAAAAGTAGCAGATAAAAGTTATATTTCCTAAAAGTTCTACAAAAAGGCTGAAATTAAAGTGAAGTGGCTGTGCATGCCACTGTCAGCCCGTCTAACAAAACATCTAAAAACTGAAAATGTAATGCCATAATTCACGTTAGGAGTTATGGGATGCTGCTGTGTCACTTTGAGGCATGGCCGTACTACATACTATTTGCACGCAAGTAAAAATGAAGGAAGTCGAAAAATTAAAAACTTTCCAATTGTACATCATGACAATGCAAGGAGGCAATTATTTTCTCTATCAAGTGGCACCAAGTCAGGTTTGGTGCAACAGTTGTAGCCCCTTTAAATTTTAATTGTATGTAAGAGGACTCCTAAAAATATTAACGGATTACACATGAAAAAGCAATATGTTTAACTGTAGCTTTCAGTCCTTACTGCTTCATCAAAAAGAACATGGTCAGCTCAAAAAAAAAAAAATATATATATATATATATATATATATATATATATACACACATACACACACACACACACACACACACACCACAATCCAGTGCTGTCAATTGATAATGTTTTACTAAAGTGTTCACTTGAACACATGTAAAATGGAGTGACACATGGTCAACAAAATATTTCCATTGTGGCACACATCCTAAGAACACTTATTACTTGTTATTTTGCATCAGTCTTAATGACATATGCATAATATAAATATACCGCCCAGACCATTCTCAACCGTACCAATCAATCAGACAATATCTATTCTACCGTGTTGCACAAACTTAAAAAGAACGTTCCAGGCACCAACATGACTTACATGCACTTTATTTTATTTATAAAATATTTTACCAGGAAAGATACATTAAGATTTTTGTTTTGTCATTTTAAATTACGTCCTGAAATATTTCACAACTTTATATTTAATGTTTTGTTAAAAGTTAAAACGTGGGTTTGGTGTTGCTCTACCTCTTAGGCACAAAGCAAATTCCTTATTAAATGTACAGAGTATGTACTTGGCTCAGCCTTTGCCAACTAGTGTGAGCTGAGCAGCTCAACACCATGCCCCTTTACCCTCTAGCATTGCTTGGATATACTATACAAATAAAGTGTCACTAAGCTGTTGAAGGGTAGGGTCAAATAAGCAGCTCAGTCCACACACATCTCTCAGGCTTACTTGCACTGTTTACCTTAGAAGTAAGATGATTTGTGAAAAGAAAGGAGTGGAGTTATGTTGCAGAAAAATTATTTAAGTTGTGCTGGTGCCCAGGGATTTCCTCTAAGCTAGACTGTGACTAAAGGTGCTCTAAATATAAACTATTTCAGATTGCCAAGAGGAAGTTTTCATAATTTTAAAATATAAGTTTTGTTTAATATGAAAATTCCATATAAAAAGCCATCAACTCATTACTGGTTTAATAACTGTTCCATGGAATGACGGTGGAACACTAAGCTGTGCTATTACTGTGCTAACATTACTTAAAAATAAAAAATAAAATAGAGGCTGAATTCATTTTGTCAAAAGCAAAACAGTCCCTTTTTTTTTCCAGCTGCATAAAGCATCACTGTCAAGTTTTTGAATTTTTTTTTTTTTAAATCCCTTTTTGTCCCACTATTCCCCCACCCCTAAATACATAAGTAAAAATGTTAATTTCTTTCTTATGTAGAGCAGGATCTTTGGCAATGAGTGGAGCTCAAAGGAAAATGGACATTAAGTTTTCTTTAATATCTCAATGTAATATTTATGTTCTAACAGGTCACTCAATACCTTTTTAAAATTGATTTAATTCATGTACATTGACATTTTATTGTGGCGGGGGGGGGAGGGGAGTGGGGGGTGTGAGGAGGAGTCACATGCCTACCTTTTCTCATGCCACCTTTTTGATCAGCCATCTTCTGGTCTACACATCATCTGATGCAACACTCACCATTTTACCATGTGTGCACTACCCTTCGCTAGTTTCCACACAATACTCTGCTGCTTTGCAACACCATTACATTTTAGCCATTAGGACACTCATATACAAACCTGACATTTTAAGGCAAAAGTGCTCTATCTGCCTGACTTTTCATGTATAGAGGCTTCTGATAGAAAATGCTGCAAGCAAAAAGAGCACTCATTTTACGTAACAATGTTAGAAGTCTACCATAGATCACCGTACCAGCAAAACAGAGCTGTTGTGAAAACGGAGGAGAGTCAATATACAGAACTACCACCGTTACCTCAAAATTAAATATAATAATCCTGTCATAGTGTGTATGTCTGTTATGTGTTTGTATGTTTGTGATTGTGTGTATAGATCTGATTGTATATGTGTGGGTCTGTGATTGTGTGCGTGTATAGGTCTGATTGTATCTGCATGTACATCTTTGGTATGTGCATATGTATATACATGGGTATGTGTTTAGTAGTTCGCTACCTAATTTGGATTCCTTAAAAGGATAACAAATAAGGGAGTTATCTACTAAACAAATTACTTATATACATTAACTATAGGATATATTTGATGTGCGGCCCAAGACAATTCCTCTTTGCTCAATGCAGCCCAAAGAAGCCAAAAGGTGAGACACCCATGCTTTAGTACAGGACAGGACCCTTCTGCGATATTCATGCACCTTTATGTAAGGTAATATATGTAATTGAACCCACTTGTTTCTGTGCAAGTAGCGAAGCAGGGAAGACCTCAGAGTGTTTTTAACACTGTGACCCAAGATGCATGTATATGGCTAAAAGATATAATAAAGGAAGGGATTTGATGTTCTTAATTAAATAGAAAATAATGCCTTTTCTAAACTTTAAAGGATTGAAAAAATAAAAAACTATATATATCACACACACACTTTCAGGTACCAGTTGTCCTTTAAGCCTGCCTTGCTATATAGTGCACTCATGGAGAAACAGCAAGCATTGGGGTCAGATAACAAGGAATCCAGCTGACTGTGCAAGAATGTGGAGGAGGCAAGTGATTTCTTAAAATTCAATATGCATGAATTAAAAAAGCAAGATAGTACGGTGCCTTAAAACACAATAAAGTCAATTTTCTTTTGAGCAAAGTTTCTTCTCAGTGGAAAAAGTTTAGTTACCCATAGCCCATCAGTCAAATGAATCCCATGGAAGGGCAAACTGCAGACATCATAGGCAGAGAACAAAAGTGTCCAGTTACTGAGATCCAACCCAAGGAAATAATGTTGGAAAAAATAAAAAGGCAAGGGGCACTATAATAATCATTAATATGCAAAAGGTATAAAGAAAGGAAAACCACACATACAAAAAAAAAAAAAACATGCATTCAAGCTAATCAATACGGTCTACATTAACAGTTTAACCAACGTTTCTGTAAACAGCTATGGGCAATGTGTGCAAATACAAGACAAAACAAAAATACATTTTGCTGTACAAATAACATGCTTGTAAATTTGGAACAATAAATCTACACCAGAATGTATCATTAGAAGGCAAATATGATGCACAAGTTGTTTCATTATAATCAAAAAATGTAACAGAATTTTTTTGTGCTCAACATTTTAAACTCAATGCCTATCACAGCAATTGCTGAAATTACATCATGTGACACACACTGGATGAGTCAATATATATTACACTTAAAAATATAATTACAAAGCAGACGTATGTGTCATTACAGCATTTATATAAAATTTCACCCTGGCACAAAATCATTGCAGCATGTCTATATGCAACAGATTACAAAATATTTCAATATGTTGGGTATTACCACAATTTACAATAAAAGTGCCACTGATGTGTCTTTTTGTTAAACTTTGGAATTTAACAGGTCTACAAGCACATTGAGAAATGTTACCGTACAGAAAGTAGTATTCTTCCAATGTGGATATAGCTCCATAACTTTTGTTTAAATTTTGTAATTTGACAAATGGTTTCTCTCATTTTATTTTTAACCACATGGTTTGTGTGTCCATAAATTGTGTAATTAAATTAACTAAAATCCAAATTACATACAAAAAAAAATGTACAGTCAAATTATATTAATCATCGGAGCTGATTGACAAAATTCAAAATATAGCAGCCAGGAAATTGATGGTTATAAACATTGCGGCGTTCTGAAAATCTATATAACACTAATAAACACACACGTTTATTATATAAGTACATAAACTGCAAAATAGGAGATGCCTCTTTTACACATAACAAACCAATGATGGCTCTTAAATTAAAATCCCAATTCATAGAGTTATATGCTGCAAACTGTCTCAATTTGTCATATGTTAATAGTCTCCATTTTATTTTGTCCTACAGGCCATTTCCTTTATGTATGTTCTGCACTTTTAAACACCACTGTTGCAGAGATTCCGTCCTCTATAACATTAACCCATTGCACCCACTCAACTGGTTTTCTTCATTATATGGATTGGTCACAGATCCTAAAACCAATTATTTATTTTTTGCAAATGTTAAAATTGACAGGTCTGCTTTAAACTAAAGGCCCCACAACAGGTGAAATGTTCACCAATATGTGGGAGAGAAATATACGCACATGAAGTTCAATCTCTTTAGCATCTTTCTTGTTCAACCCTCGCCATAAGTCTAAATCGCATGCATATTTAAGAATGCAAGAGCATAAAACAGGGGGTCTGTGGAAATATTGTAAGACTAAATGTTCACAAAATGATTTAGGAATGAACTGTGCAATGCACAGAAAAGATTCTTTCTCCGTAATCACAAGAGTGGCAACTGGTTATAATGAATTTGTCACTCTGAATACAATTATTATGTATACTGGACTATGCTAAAGTTTCAGTGAGGCAAACCCAATGATGCTGATAGAGATGGCATTACACCTCCAGCAAGAAAAGGGATTAAATTCTGTATGTGCAGTATTTCATAGGTAAATGCTGCACATACACGCTCCAGATACCATGACAATTTCAGATCACTGAAGAGGTCATGCTGCTATGAGTAACCCTTTAATTTTGCAGTCTTCTGTCCATTAGTAATTTAGTTTGCTTATACTTTTTTATGCTGGAATTAAGACAAATATAACATTTTAGTGAATCTGTTACTTTATAATTTTGTGTAAGACATTCTGTAGAAAATCTGCACAATTTTGCAAGTGTTGCAAAGGGAATCAAACAGCGTAACAATAAATAAATTCAGTTACTCTTGCAGCATGCAAAATCTAAAATTTGCATTGAAAATAAAAAATAGACATAAATAACAGTTACAATAACTGTATTGTGGATATATTTAGTTAGCTGTGCACCAGTACAATTAATGTTTAAATTTTAATACATATGGGAAATCTTTTTACATTCTACTCTGTACAAATACCTAGAAACATACATTGTTAAAAATAAATTTCTATTTTAAATTTTATGCGCCTTTCAGATATATATTTTTTTACATTACATCCTGTAATACTCTACAGTATAAATATCGTTTGCATTTGTCATCTCAGTATCATACATAAGACGTACACATATGTAATCTGTTCACAAAGACAACTTGTGCACAGCTTTTGTTCAGCTTATGCAAATTCACGCATTGTTGGTTCAGTTTAATTGCTTAACCTTTCTTTTATTCTGTATTATATTGTGATCACGAACTCTGAATGGACTTTCAGTATTGCAATATTAGTGCAATAAGTACAGGTTGTGGAGCTAACAGTAAACATTAAAAAATTATATATTTAACACGCCGTTCGACATCTTTTTTATTTTTAAAGGAGAAAATTTGTATACTTGCTTGATGTGTAACCATTACAAATGGCAAATAACACTAGAACTGTCAAAAAAACAAACTAAAAAAAGATTAGGTGGTTAGGAATCTCCTCCCTCGATTTTAGTCTCCTCATATTTTGGATCTACATCTAAACACATACAGCATGAGGACAAATTAAAACAATATTTTAATAATGTTTGTAGTGCAGTGTGAATATATATGTTGCAAAATGTCAGATTCTTTCAGAATGGTATCCTACAAACAGAGTTTAATAAGGTTCAGCATTATAAAGTACCAGTGGATTGATAAGTGCAATGTCAAACCTTTAGACAAACCTGTAGCTCCAAAAACTATGAAATAAAAAATGAAATGTTTAATAAGTTTCGAAAAATGACAATGAATTAAATATTCTGTTTTACACTTTGTTCAAAAACATTAAAAAAAATAATTATGCACATCATAGTTTGTATTTGATTCTCTGTGCCAGGAATAGCAAACAAGAAGACCATGCATTCTTACCAAACTGCATGGCAGCAAAGAGTTACCATTTGGCAAAAAGCTGGATGACTACCTGCATGCCATCCCTGCCACAGTGCATGCTTTACAATATCAAGCTCCTTATAAACAAGGAATTCATAAAATACTACAACGATAAAATCCTATTATGAAAACTTAGAATAGATTTATGGAGAAAATGACATTGTAACAATGCAGTTGCCATGTGCACATTTGTACATCACGTCTTTACAAAATGGGAGTCAAATGTCTGTGTTTAATACTGTAAGCACAACGAGCTTATCTACTCTATCTCTACTGTGAAAAGTGCAAAAGCTCGAGTAGAACTAAAAGAACATGAAAAATGCTTGTTTGTGACTCCATGCTGTAAAGCAAAAAGTGCTAACTAATTTGCCAAAACCAGTGTTTATCATTTAAACCAGTGGTACCCAAACCAATCTCATGTAGCATAAAAAAGGGAAAAACACAAATCTTGGATTGTTGCTGGGTCATTAAGACTGGTTTGGGAACCACTAATTTAAACAAGGACTCAGAACCCCCAGGCATCTCACCTTTCCCAGAAGGAAAAAAAGAAATTTTGCACAGTAAAATTATGGTGCAGCAAACATCCACCCAAAAAGTCCAACATGTTAAACTCTAAATAGTCACCTCTGGTCCCACTTAAGTCCATCGAGTGTTAACATAGCTACCTGGGAAAGTGGCAGATGGAACTTCATGTCTTATGCTTACATGCCACACTCAGTCATGGCCCCTTTCCCCTCTATAGTTCATCCTCCTCCTCTGCTATTCTATTATTCCACCTTACGATTTAAATTATCTCATGGCAGCTTGGATGGGCACACATGGTGCAGCAGTTGGGTTAGCAATGATTTGACCCGTGGGATTGCAAAAGCTTATTTTTTTTTTTATTTTTTTTTTAAAGCAATCCCCTGTGAAACCTTACTCACCGGCATTTCAACCTTTCATGAGAGAAAATTCTTTAGTATCTGCAAGAACTGATTCGTAATGTTCAGAGGGAACACTTACCTGATATAAGGTCTTAAGTGGAACCATAGGCAAGAAACAAAATCCACCAGAATATCTTCTTTTTACAAGCTCTTCATACAGTATTACGTGAGCACCAGCATAAGCTTTTGTTTAAAGTTATTTAACCTTTTTCATGTTGTATTTCTTACAATTCGATTTCTAGATCATCTACTGTATTCATCCCAATTGATAAAGAGAAGCAGGTCTTCCACAACATTCCTAATGGGAATATGGGCACACCCACCCAAATACATCATGAAAGTGCAAATCATAGTGTAAGAACCCTCACAGACTGGCACTACTAGATACTGATGACAATGAAAGACATGCTGAGCTTATTCTCTAAATAAGCCAAATACCTATTTATTCTGTATATTAAGAGATTCCAGTTCTGTTTTAATACTAAGAAAAAGAAAATTGTTCACAGGATAATAGTAGAAAGTGGTTTTAAGAGAGTGCCAACAGATGACTATATACTATTCCCCTGTCTCATCAGAGGCTATCACACTGTAAAAGAACTGCCAAGTCTACAACTTAATTTACTAGACTCTGGCAATTCAAAATAAATTTACCTGATTAAACGTCAGATAAGAAACCCACTGGTCAGATTTAGTAGGGGTCACCCGTGAAAAGCTAAACTAGCCTGCTGGGAACAGAGCATAATGAACTACTAAGACTCAGTAACAAAAATAGCACTAGAATGAGTAGCATTTTAACTAACCTAACATTTATTGGAATATGCAGGCACTTACAGACCAGGTGTAAGGTGAATCCATGTAAAAATGTATTGTTACAGCCAAGAGCCAATGTACAAAAAGTTTTGTAAATACCAGGTGCCCTGTCTTGCATATTCCATGCATCAATTTAGTTACGTAAAGGTAAAGTAAATCATGAGGTGCAGTAGATCTGAGAAGCAGTTATTAACTTACATTGTTAACGTGTCTGGTTCAGCTGCCGAAGAGAATCAGTGCATAGAGCAGATTACCTGAAAGTGGTTAGGAGTATGTGCAACCACAAAAAAGTAGGTCCATAAGCAAAGATTGGAATCCCAAAAGATAGAGCTATGATAAGTGGACATAACACATCAACTGGAAATTAGGAAAACATAACAGAGGTAAGTCTGCAACAAGACTAGGAATATTTAAAACATAATGTCATCTAATCTTCTGTAAGGACATCCATGGGAAAGTAAAAAGGTAAATAAAATATTTTGCATTTAAAAAATAAAATATCTATAAAACAATTCCCTGAGCCGTCTATACGGGTAAGTGCACAGTATGCTTTGAAAGAACTCAGAACTATGGATTAGTTATGTTAATGCAGAAGCCACAGAAAAAGTAAAATCCATATTTTTTTTATACACCAGTGAATCAAATTTAACTGATTCACCACTTTTACAATCTGAACTGAAGAGACACCTATAAGCTGCCTGAAAGATATGAAAGGAATATAAAAAAGAAAAAAGTTTGAGACTTGCACAGAAATAGCAGTTTTCACTGACTGTGTGTGCACGTAACTTTGAGGTTTGACTAAAAAAGTTTAATTTATTCTCATGTCTCAGTCTGGTGAACTATCTACATAAGACATAATTGTCATATGCATAGCAGCTTAGAAAAATTATTTCCACAATGCCATATAGACTATGGAAAAGGCAAGGTGTTTTTTTTGTCAAGTTATGGTGTGCACCCTTTTCTTCACAAATATGTAGTTATGTGCAAATGCAGCCAAAACCTGACAAAATGTGACAGCAGCACAGGATTACATGTGACAACACATGAAGACTAAAATAGAAATTGAGGAGGTATAAAAGCTTGCTCTTCAGTAAGGACCTACAACAGTTCACTCCCCTGACTAAAATTACTTCGACCTCTATCCACTATTAGAAGTGCAATTAATACTCTATTATACTCCTTGACTTGTCTACATCAGCAGTTCATGCAGGACTCCTGTGCCCCAAACACTCGGAATGCCACTGCTACCACAATATTGTATGACAGAGGTACATGCACCAATCCTATTAATGTCTGGCAACCATCTTGATGGTTACAGAAAGCAATCTCCAGGTAAGTACATGTTTCAGTTACAATTATTATTGTTGGGGATTGTACCATCACAATATAAATTGCAAGTACACTGAACTTCTACATGATTTGTGGATATCAATCTCCTTTAAAAGGAAGAATGCCAGCACCAGTCACTCATGAAGCTTGCAGAGGCTATGTTGCAAATATAAAATGGAGAAATAAAGTAAACCGAGTGCAGGTCAGGAGTCCAGATACAAGTCAATGGCTCATGAGCTGTACCACTGTAACCACCTAATAGGGAGCTCCAATGAGGGGGTAACCCTCCAAAATATGTAGGTAATAGGAGTAGGTGATGTGTCGAGTCCCACAAGGGGAAACCAACATCAGGAGTGCTGCACTGTATAAGAAATGAGGAAGGGAGGCCCTACCTTTAATCAATCGAAGGATAAAAAGGGATATGCAAACAAAATGTATTACTTGAAAAAAAGGGAGATCTTTTTTTCTTTCAAGTTATATTTTTTGTTTGCATATCCCTTTTTATCCTTCGATTGATTAAAGGTAGGGCCTCCCTTCCTCATTTCTTATACAGTGCAGCTCTCCTGATGATGGTTTCCCCTTGTGGGACTCTACACATCACCTACTCCTATGTTGCAAATAAACCTAATTATCTCCATTTTTCTATCATTTAGTAAATATGTGATTTACTACTGCAAAAATCTCCCTAGTTTGTGAATTTATAGGAAACGCATAACTGATACATACAAAATAATGCAAATTCAACTGAAAACAAGAACATGAAACTGTGAAATCTTACAACTGTATAAGTTAAAGATGCTGAGTATTTGCAGCAAAAAGGAAAGGTTGGTGTTTTTAAGCGAGGGAGAGGTGATGGGGATGTCGTCATTTGCATTGTGAGTGTGATGTGGAAACAATCATTCAGAGCTGCTGTATATGACAGACCATGTTTACCTTATAAATGAAGACCTAAGACGTCAAAAAAAAATAAAAAAAATAAAAAAATTTATACACAAGTGCATATGTCTGTTCTATATGTCAATATTAACTTTGCCAACATTTATTTATTCTTGCTTACCAGCAGGCTTCATTTTGAAAAATAAACTACTGGTTAAAGGTTACTGCTATACACACACACACATAGAAATGTTGAGCTGTTCCTCGAATCCCTTTGGTCCAGGTCTTAAAATACCCACCTGCTTAACGATGACGATATTCTCTCTCCCTGTCCCTTTCTCTGTCACGGTCCCGTTCTCTGTCACGGTGTCTCTCCCTCTCACGACTCCTTTCCCGGTAATAGTCGTCATGTCGATCTCTGCTTCGGGATTTGTGACGCCTGCTCTTTTCTCGTGACCTACTGTGGTCCCTTTCTCTTGAACGCTCACGTCTTCTAAAGGAAATACTTGATTAATTGCTTTTCAAAACTCTGGAAATGTTTCTTGAAAAAGTAATTTTCTTTCTAGTCACATATCAAAAACTTTAATGTACAAGAGTCTTCATTAAATTAAATTAATACTGCTAATGTAAATTCAAAGTTTTGTGTTAATTCAATAAACTGCTCTTCTCAGCACCAAAACTAATTTCTTATTAGATTAATATTAAAACTTTTTTGTGAGTAAACAATTTATTAGCTCCCTTAGACAAATAGAAACTAGAGCTGTTACTCAAAATCCAAATTGTGACTGAACTTTAAATCATAAAATTAAAGAAAAAAATAGCAGATTGATAAATTCTCCAATTTACCTATAGACAAAGTTGGCTTTTATTATATACATTTTTCAATCTGAATTAAGATGTTCAATTTAGTTAAAAACCCTTTAGGGGAGGAGAAAACTTTTCTAATAGTCCATATTTTTATAAATATTTCTTATTTTTAAACTATTTTTAAATATTTATGCTTGGAACACAGATATTACTTATTACTTACAATTACACTTCAAGTAAAAGCTAAGATAAATGTCAGCTAATCTTGATGGAGTAGAAAAGGAGAGAAAACATTACCTAGACCCAGAACCGTAAGACTTTGATTCAATTCCGTGGAGACAATCTTGCAGAGAGCTTATGAGGACTTTGCAACGGTCATCTGCAGATACTTTGGATTGTTTAATTAAAGAAATAGCAGTAACCAAAGTTTCAATAGCACTTCCATAATCTCCTGGGAGAAAGAAAATTATAGATCAGTGAAGAAAAAAACTATTTTATGTTGCATACCGAGGCGCAGCTTTTTCCACAAGGAATTAAAAATATGTTTAGAATACTTAAACCATTACACCCAGAATTCTCACATTCTCCATAACAACCTTTTTTTTAATTGAAACATTGTAGAAAATAGGGAATAAGCATGATAGAAAAGCCAGATATTTTTCTAACAATGTGTATTAATAGCCCTGCTTTATTTTACATGACATCTAGTGTTAAATAAAAGACAGTATATTGAAAATTTACCAACCAGCACTAGCATCAGACACCGCCCTTGAAATAGCACTGCTTGAAATTGCTCTGTTGCGATTCATAATTTCTTCAAACTCTGCTTCACTTAAAGGGGTTCTAATAGGATCCATATCCCTGTAATGGGCAGAAAGTCTGAATTTAAACAATGGAGCAAAATCTTCTCAGATTACCAATGAATAACAGCCTTTGTAAAAAAATTGAAAAAAACTAACCTTCCTGGGGGTCCATAATCTCCTCTATCATATGGCGGTGGTCGACCATATGGATCTGAAGGTGGAGGCCCACGGTTATCTGATGTTGGCATGCCAGCATTACCAGGAGGAGGGAAAAAGTTTGGATTCACATGTGGAGCTGGTGGGGGACCTCCAGGGGGTGGGCCTGGTAAATGGGGTGGAGGAGCAAGTGCCATGGGGGGCCCAGGGGGACGTGGAGGGAAGGGACCGGGAGGCGGTGGACCTTGTTGGGGAGGGGGTGGACCAGGCGGAGGGCCATAAACAGGTGGAGGTGGACCAGGAGGAACAGGAAGTACAGGAGGTTGTCCATATGGCTGTCCAGGAAACATAACAGGAGGAGGTGGTCTGTCACCACGATTTGGTGGTCCAGGTAGTGGAGGTGGAAGTGGCTGTCCAGGTGGAGGTGGGCCAGGGGGTCCTGGAGGACCTGGTAAGCACATGGGAGGTCTTGGAGGGGTCATACCTTTTGGGATGAAAAATCTAAATCGTTATTTCAGATATTAAAAGTAGAATACACATGCCACAACATCCACAAAACTGACAGGGGTAAAACAAATCATGATCTTTCCTTCTCTCAAGCATCTTCTATTCAAGATAGAAGTTGTAGCTGCATCACACATACACAAGCTTATCATTTCTAAGAAGGAAATGTACTCTATATCTCTCACCACATACCATACCTAACAATATAACCCCGCCTCCCCCTTTTCTTTAAAGGGACACTAGTCACCAAAACTTTATCTTATTGAAGCAGTTTTAGTGTATAGATAATTTCCCTGCAGTGTCACTGCTCAATTTTCTGCCATTTAGAAGTTAAATAACTTTATGCACCCTAGTAGCACCTCCTTGCATGTCACTTGCACACCCTTCCTAAACACTTCCTGTAAAGAGTCAGCTAACGTTTATACTTCCTTCATTGCAAATTATATTTAGTTTAACATGTATTACCCCCTGCACTGTTGATAGCTTGCTAGACCCCAAATAAGAATTTTGTGTATAATTAAGGTTCACTTTAAAGAGCAGGCAATAAGAACTTTTTTTTTTCATTATGCAAAGAGTTGATAATCTTGCATACAATGCCCCAACAGCTCGCGAATGCATAACTTCAGTAACATTGATATGACATAGCTTGGTAGTGCACATTTTAAATTAGAAGACAATGAACATTCCACCAGTAAACAAAAGAATACACATGTTAAGCGAGTCAGGTTGGAGTGTACTGGCAGAGTAGTAAGACATGGTTACTATGTCCTCTTATCAGGGGACAGATCTTAAAAGGTGGGCTGGCACCTGGAGTCAACAGTGTAAACTAAAAAACACACTTAAACAGTGCTGAGCGATACTCTAAAATAACAAAAAACATAAATAACAAGCAACTGGGACTGGTTAAGGAGTCAGTCCGTTTCTGTGTGGCTTCTTCACTATCAGCCGGTGTCAGCTGCAGCACCTGGGGTAAAAGGGACAATCCTGTGTACTTCCCAGCTGTGACCTGGACGTGTCGTGCATTCTGAAGACAGAGAAGGCCCAGGAACTGAAGGAAGGCAGCAGAGTCCTCCCCGGTGGAAAGCTGGTGTGTGCGTTCAGCCTTGTTGACTATTAGGGCTCGGGAGTGGCCCCATTTGTAGCTGTTTGCAGAGTCTTTGTTACATGTTGGAAGGACCGTCTCCATTCCAGGGTGGACTGACATAAGCCCTGCAGGAATTGGAGTTGCATCTCCTCAAACTAAAGGGGTGTTCTGGTTTTCATTGCTTCTTGTAGGGCCAGCTTCTCGCGAAGCAGTGGGAAACGTACCAGAACATCTCGGGGAACCCCAGCCAGTGCCCTGTTTGACATAGCCAGTCTGAAGCAGCTGTCTACCTGAATACCTTTTGCAGAGCACTGTGGCAGTAGAGTAGCCAATAGCTAGCGTAGAAAATGAAGCATGTTCAGTAACTGATTCGGTGATAGTCCTGATTTTGAGGTTATTGCGCCTCCTCGCGTCATCCAGGGTATGCATGGTTTTGTGGGATGCTTTGAGTTGTTGTAATAACTTTGTGTCTGTTTGCATTTGGGCAATGGAGGTGAGGTTATCCTTGTTAGCCTGTACTCTGGCTGTCACCACTTATATCCTCACGGATTATATCCGGATCAGCGTTAAAGGCGGCTCTTATGTTTGTCATCAGAGCTTTGATATCCCCCTTTGTAGCTGGGGCTGTCAGGTGTTCCCCTTGTTGAGGGCTGATTATGGTCATCGAGTGCATCAAGAAGTTCTTCCTCAGAGGATTAATAATGTGGGTCCGTTTGCGGCGCCATTTTGAGCCTAGGAGGTCCGCGATATCGCGGAGCCCCGTAAGGGTTTTAAGCTTTTTAGCCTTCTTCCTCATTGTGAGCTGAGGTGCTGAACCGGATCTCGGGTGGAATCAGTGTAGGTAAAAGCCTCAAATTTGATGTATGCTCTGCCAACCACGGGAGCTTAGCCGACATAAGAACTATAAAGTAAGTTACATCTAATTGAAAGTGAAACCATTTTTTTCATGCATGGTGTGTGAGCCATAGGCAGGGGAGGTGTGACTGGGGGCGCAGAAACAGAAACAAAAGATATTTAACTCCTAAATTGCAGAGATTTAAGCAGTGAGACTGCAGAATCATGACCTATACACTAAAACTGCTTCCTTAAGCCAAAGTTGTTTTGGTGACTATAGTGTCCCTTTAAGTAGAGTCAAATCAATAGGACACTAACATTCCACATTTTAACTTTACATGATTAGCAGATATATATATAAATCGCGGTTATTTGTCTATGCTCGGGGAATGGGGGACCGTAGTCCAGTTTTTAGCTGTGGTAGTTTAACAAATACACTTTTGTTTTTTTAGCACACATACCAGCAAAAGGTGGTGGAGGACCTCCAGGCCCAGCTGGTCCTGGGAATCTGTCGCCACCAGGACCTGAGGTTGGGAGACGACCTCTGCCCCTACCACCAGGCGGAAATGGTAAACGAGCGTTGATACCAGGCGGACCAGCCTTCCCTTCTCCAGACATTTGGCCAGCCTGTGCAGCTGCAACAATAGGAATACAACAGAAAGTATCTACATCCCAAAACATACAAAGCCTAGCCAAAAGTCACTATCATTTTCATAAAGCATTAAATGTCTTGATATACTGACAATTGCACTTGTTCTCAGAATTCCACAGTGCTGATTTATACCATGTTTATATAACGCCATTTGTTCCTGTCTCACTTTGCCTTATACCTTTGCTAAAATGAAGCTCTTATCATAGCTGTCTCACATATAATTTAATCTGCCATAAAAAAAAAAATTAAAAAAAAAAAGATTCTACAAAAACACTTAAATACAACTTTGTGTACCAAACAGCTAAAAGACTAAAAGATCCCGATTTTACTTAAAAATTATAGAATTGGGCAACTCACTATACACAGATCAGCATGACAATGTATTAAATAGCTACAAATCCATCTATCGTTATCCTCCAGTATTTCTTACTAAATACCCCATTGAGCAAATATAACCCTGAAACCCAAGACTTATGGAAATCAGAAGCCAGCTTTCAAAACTTCCAGTACAATCCCATGCCTGGATTTTTCTATCCCCTACACCAAAGCTCTTTCTCCTGTTAGATTATGCAACATATTACAATGTAAAGATCATTATCCTCCAGTATTTCTTACTAAATACCCCATTGAGCAAACATTACCCTGAAACCCAAGACTTATGGAAATCAGAAACCAGCTGTACTGGCGCGAATACTGCCAATATACAAAATCACATGTCTAAAATACTTACTTTTCTTTGACTGCATTTCAAATTGACTAAGGAACTGCTTATTGCATGGAGTGACAGCTGGAGTCTGCCCATGTAGTTCTCGTTTAGGTAACAAATCCATGAGTTTCTTAGAAGAGGACTCCGAGCCAACAGAAATTAGTGCAAACCTTAAACAATTTAAAATAAGATTAAAAATATAATTCAAAAAAATAATGTCTACAATTAAGGGTGGGGAGAATATATATATATATATTATATATATATATATATATATTCTCCTTTGCATAAACTGAACATATTTTCAATAACATAAGTGCATGGAAGAAACCATAGCTTAAATAGATTGTATTGCCAGATTCTATATTTGAAATAAAAACAGTATCAGCGCTTAGTTAATATACCCCTATTTTTTGTATAGGGGTCAACCACGAAAATATATTAAATAAAGAGTCCTGGTTGTAATCTTAATGGGGTGCTTTCAAATGTCCGCAGGGATTTGATAGTTGTAACAGAAATTGATGTAGAAAGACTTTGTCTCTATATGTACCCAACAATAAAAAGTGGTGAAACTTATTTCTAAGGTTCACAATAAAAGCGTAGAAATGCAGAATATTGGTTGGTAAATATAGAGTTACCGCTCCGTGGATGTTAATCCCAGACCGGTCCTGTGCACTCGGATCGATCCTCACTGAGACGCCAACTAACCAGTATTGCTGCAGTCTCTCCAAATTCAAAAATCCCGCCAGAAACACGATCTACGCGTTTCGCTCATTCAAACGAGCTTCCTCGTGTTTCTGGCGGGATTTTTGAATTTGGAGAGACTGCAGCAATACTGGTTAGTTGGCGTCTCAGTGAGGATCGATCCGAGTGCACAGGACCGGTCTGGGATTAACATCCACGGAGCGATAACTATATTTACCAACCAATATTCTGCATTTCTACGCTTTTATTGTGAACCTTAGAAATAAGTTTCACCACTTTTTATTGTTGGATACATATAGAGACAAAGTCTTTCTTCATCAATTTCTGTTACAACTATCAAATCCCTGCGGACATTTGAAAGCACCCCATTAAGATTACAACCAGGACTCTTTATTTAATATATTTTCGTGGTTGACCCCTATACAAAAAAATAGGGGTATATTAACTAAGCGCTGATACTGTTTTTATTTCATTTTATGTCGTGTATGATGTTTTAAAACTTGGGAAGGTTTTTAGTGTATCGGGCAGCTTTGTACATCAACTTTTTCTTGTGGATAATTGTAATTTGAAGCACTTGCTTAGAAAATCCACTATATTATTGATTTTCTTTTGCGCTCTCTATAAACCTGTTTTTTTCAGATTCTATATTTGTCAAAATAATTGAAGTCGCACTCCAAGTACCATAATTACTTTATCTAAATTAAGTCATTAAGGTGTCAGGAGCTCAATGGCACTGTCTTAAAGCGGCACCGTCATGCCGAATGTACCTTTCCCCAATCGATCTCCCTCTCTCAGGATCTGTTCTTCATTTCTTGCTGTCTGCTCTAGTTTACTTTAAAACATAAGACAAAGTAGGGACTATTTGTCAAATGTAGGTTTCCTACGCCTGACCATCTATGACCAGCAGAGGAGCAAAGTGTGCTCCATTTCCTGTGGGAAGAGAAACTTTCCCACAATTCTTACTTTCCTCCGTGATCTTGCGCTGCTTCCAGTCAGTATTCCCGAATGTCCTGTCATTAAGACAGAAAGCAGACAGAACTACCGAATTTTGTCCTAACAGAATAAGAACAGTTTCTCCATTCGTGATAGGACGCACTTCGGGACTTTGTTCGGATCAGAATATCATGAAAATGGGGGTGGGGGGGGCCTAAATGAAAATGGGGAGGTCACCTATTGTCCTTCCCGAACCCAACCCCTGGCCCCCACCCATGGGCGATGATTTTAGAAAAAAAGAAGACAAATTGTAATTTATTTTTTATTTACAAGGATTTGGTTTTATTGTTCCTCCCTCACTATTGTTTAGGGTGAGTCGGTAGGTCTTTATTAAAATATTTTTTTGGGTGGGGGGTGACTAGGGGCTTGGGGACCCCTAGTCACCTGGGTGAGGACCAGGGGGAAGGATAATAGGTGTGTTGTCCCCCCCCCCCCAATTTTCATTTAGGGCCCACACTCGCCGCTCATTGTTGGGGGGACACACTGGCTGCTCACTGTTTAGTAGCCATGCCCCTACTCGTGGCATAGCGATTTTAATCTCCCTTGTGCTATTATGGGGGTCATATTGACCCCCATAGAGAGATGGAGGACACGGGGGGGCTTAGGAAGTGGCGGGAAGAACTCCCCTCTCTGTCCCTTCTACTTTTACATATTACAAGGAGGGAGCTGCGAGCTCCCTCCTTGTAATAAACGAACGAAGAGGTCTTTGTTCATTAGCTTGAAATTTCTATTTATTCGGCTTTCTGACGATTGTATGAATAGATTAAATTCCTGTTCGCATGCCCAAGTGTTTAACTGGGCATGCGCTGGAATTTCACAGCGCTGTCTAGTGTGGGCAGATGACGTGTCCCACAGGGCCTTTATCTGCCCACACAAAGATGGCGGCGCCCAGGACCTAATTCAAGGCACGAAATAAAGATGCAAAAATAGGTCAAATGAGGGGCTTAGGGGAAGACTAGGGGGACAATTAGATGTAGTGTAGTCGAGAGGGGGGTAAAAAAATAAAAAAAAATAAAACTAAACAGGATTCGACCATGACAGTGCCGCTTTAACTTATTGGGTTAAACCCATAAGAAGCAATCTCAATTCTGATCTCAGCCAAGGAGTGAGTGAAGGAGTGAGTACAATTGGTTTGTATAAAGCAGGGCTTAAAACAGCTCCATCACACACCCCTCCCAAAATCATGGGATGCTCCATAGGCCTCAGTGCTCTACTCTTATACATACATGAGAATAACACATTGATGTAGGCTCCTGACAAATGAAGCACCAGGAGTGGAGGAGCAGTAGATTGATCATGGTGGCAGTGACAAGTGAAAAAGTCAGGTAAGCAAAAATCTTACAGTGCGCCTTGGTAAACCGGACAGCAAGCAGAGCAGTCTGTTGAGAGTCTTTGCAAAATATACAAAGATCCCACACAGTGACAGAGCCGCTTTAAAAAATGCAAGCACCATATTACTAGTCATGGCTTAAAAGTTACGTGCCATGCAAGCCTGGAGGGTCCGTTACATACTTAACAGGGCTGAATTTCTACTTGTGAGGGCAAAATTTTGCCTTGTGAGTGTAAATTTTAAAGGGACACTAGGCACCCAGATCCAGTGTCAGTGAAATCTCCATTGGCAAGCATCGGGGTAATGCTTTCCTTTAGGGAGAGCCTTATGTGCTAGCGGCACTCGCCATGCATGCGGATTAAGCCCCCTGTCAGAAGACATCAAAAAAGAAGGGAGGCCTCTTGGCACTGTAGTGTTAGGAATACAAATTTGTATTCCAAACACTATAAAATCCCTTTAAGCTCTGTATGAAAACAAGGTTGCTCATACTTATCCAACTATTGTTACAACATACAAAATCAGTTGGTGATTGTTTCCAGTCATCTACAGAAACACAAAAACAGGGCATTCCATATCTTCTCTAAAAGTCTGACAAATCTAACTGCTGCAAAACATGGAAAATACATACCCCTTCGATTGGCCATTAGCTCGATTTTCAAAGAATTTTATTTCCAAAATATCATTTACACCCAGAGAATGAACAGCATCTGTCAAATCTTCATCTGTTGTCCACTACATACAGAAAATCAAATTATCAGTATATAAAGATACAAACATGCAACTGCCTCTACTTCACACTTAAATCATGCTAACATATTTCGATTACTATGATATAAAGAAGCAAATGCTAGGTTCTACACAAACATGAAAAATTACAGCTTTCCGTTTCTCTATAAAATGCCATACGCAGTCCAAAACAATCTATTTGTAATTTTCTATTTCCTAGAATATCTTGTTTAGAGGTAAAGCATAACTTCCCATGACAATATAAACATTGTGATCTTGCAAATTGCTTAAAGGATCACTATAGGGTCAGGAACACAAACCTGTATTCCTGACCCTATAGTGTTTAACCAACGATTAAGGTGGCTTGCCCTCCCCCCACCTTTAGCTTCCCTATTAAAGTTTTATTTCCAGCGCTGCGCAGTTCTGCCGGTGCAGGCTCCAGCCCCTTTGTGACATCAAAATGCCGCTTTTTAGCCCATAGGGAAAGCATTGGATTGGCTAAAAACGGCATGGGGCAGGGCCAAATGCCGTTTTAGCCAATCAGGACCTCCTAATAGAGATGCACTGAATCAATGCAACTGAGGAAAATTCAGTGCCTCCATGCAGAGCATGGGGCTTCTGAACGGTGGGGCTGCTTACTGTGCAGCCCTGAGCCAGGAATCCCCTCCAGTGTCCCTAGGGGCTCTGAAAAGGCAGTGTTTACATGAAAATGCCTGAAGGGAGCGATTATACTCATCAGAACAACTACATTAAGCTGTAGTTCTGGTGGCTATAGTGTCCCTTTAATGTGAGACATGGTAGATGCATAAACTTTTAACCTTATTTTGCAATTACTATCTAGAGCAGAGGTAGGCAACCTTCGGCACTCCAGCTGCGGACTACATCTCCCCTGATGCTTTTCTATCATTATTGATGTAAGAGCATTACGGAAGATGTAGTTTACAACATCTGGAGGTCCGAACATCGTCTACTCCTGATGTAGAGGCTTGCTTTAACAGTACGCAAGAAACAGGAATGTATCTGCATTAACCACTTTGCGAAGTTTTATATAAAAAGTATGCACTCACCCATGTTAAATTTCCAATGTATAGTGCTATTCTTTTTCCAGTATAAGTATACACAACATTAGGTGCAGATCCTTTCACTTCTTCATCTGCTGCAGATGCTGCTAGATTGTCCATGTAGTCACGGTCTTCAGGAGCATCTCCATTATTTGCAGAAGGCGACATGACATCTTCATACAGTTCAATCTGCTCATGGGTGCCATATTCACTTTCCTATAATACAGATTCATAGATTAGCATAAAGGCAAGATTACAATTCTTTTTAAAGGGACACTGTAGGCACCCAGACCGCTTGAGCTAAATGAAGTAGTCTGGGTGCTGCAACCCTTTTGCACTTAGTGCTGCAATGTAAAACATTGCAGTTCCAGAGAACTGCAATGTTTACATTGCAGCTCTAAGTCTGCCCTCTGTGGCTGTCTATCAGACAGACACTAGAGGGTTTCTGGAATCCAAAATTACTTTTGGTCCTTTATCTGACGCTAGACGTCCTCACAGACCTCCAGCGGCAGATTTTCCTCATAGGAAAGTATTGAATAATGCTTTCCTGTGGGGAGGTCTAATGTGCGTGACCATTGCCGCGCATGCGCATTAGATCTCCCCTGCCGGCTGAGCCGTGGGTGGAGCCTGACCCAGCGCCGGA